TTTAGAAATAGGTGCTGATTTTAAGAAAATGAAAGATTTGATTAGTGTATACATGTGACAAATTTAAGATTTAACTATTAAAAAGGTGGTCAATATAAGAGTCTATATAATGTAAACAGTGAGAAACTTCGGTGTTGATATTTTATGCATTACTATTTTATGCACTGTGATGTTTTATACAATGTTATTGTTATCATTGTTGGTTTTGTGTAAATTCTAAATTAGGTTCTTTTAGTAGTTAGTTTTTAAATATGATTATGTATTGTTTATTTATTTTGATTTTTTTAATTGTGTTTGAGTTTTTTTTGTAATTGGTCTTTATTTATTAAATTTTTTAAATCGTTTGGACTTAAGACATCTAAAAGTTCTATTATACATCGTTAAAAAAATTTCTTTATTGACCTCTTTGATAATAATTAAAACATTTTTAAATTTTGTATTAAATTAAACTATAAAATAAAAAATTAGCAGGCCGGTCCGCCAACTCGTTAATAAACGGGACGGATTTAATTTTTGAGCTCGGTGTCCTACGATGGCCCGCCCCGCTCCGCCTCACTTTTAGACAGGTTTAAACGGGACGGACCTAAATAGGGCAGGTCGCCCATTTCACCACCCCTGTCTGAAACTATTATTATTTGAATGTATAAAAATATTTTGATTTCAAATACTCGGTTACCAACTAACTTAAAAATAATTTGATTTCAAAATACTCGGTTACCAACTAGGTTTCACGTGATTGATTCAAATTGGATGAATTATATTTTATTTTGTTCCATTTTTAATAACAACAATTAACACTAATGTAATATAATTGGTTCATATGTTTTTTATCAATCAATTAAAAATAATATTATATAGTATTAATAAATATTAATAATTTGATAAATTAAAAAACATCAAAGATAAATAATTTTTTTCTTTTTCTTTTCTTTTCAATTTATATTTTAATTTTTAAATTTAATTAATTGTAATAAATGTACTATTAATGTATTTTATATTTCTAAAATTTTGAATTTGTAATAAATTATAATATTTTTTTATTAATTTTAATAATAAAATGAAATAATTTTTAATATTAAAGAATTTTATTCTGATTTTATAATTTAGTATTAAAAAATCATTTTATAATAAATTAAAAATAAATACTTGAAAATTTTAAATACTATATTGTAAAAATAAAAACTAAGGTAAAAAAAAATACGAACAATTTATAAAATGGTATGACTTTATTTTAATGAAAAATAAAATTTTATTTCTTTCATTATAATATAATAAAGGAATAAAATTATATCAAATGATAATCATGAAGAAAAAAAAAGAGGATTGGTAAAGATTTATGTACCTAGAACATGAAAAGTTTTTATATGCATTGCAATAAAATGAAATACATTTTAATTAAAAATATTATCATCTATTTTAAAAAGTTTGACCTAAATTAATGAATAATTTTATAAATTATAGTTGATACGAACGTAGAATATTTAATCATAGAATTAAATATATTTTTAATCTTGAATATATATAATTGATAAATAAAAATTGAAGAATTCTTTAGTTATAATAATACTAAAATAAAACAAAATATTTTTAAATTAGTTTTATAATTTTAAAATAAAAATTAACTTTTAATAAATTAAAAGTAAGTGTTCAAAGTAATTTGTCAGTGTAAATATATATATATATATATATATATATATATATATATATATATATATATATATATATATATATATATATATATATATACTATATATATATATATATATATATATATATATATATATATATATATATATATATATATATATATATATATATATATATTATATATATATATATATATATATATATATATATGAGATAAATTTAACTATTGATACAATTATTTTTATAAACGAAAATACGTTACAATTATTTTTATAAACGAGCATACGTTACAAATATTTTTATAAATGAGAAAATTCAACTATTGATACAATTATTTTTATAAACGGGAATAAGTTATAATTATTTTTATAAACAGAAATAAGTTACATTTTTGACGCGTCAAGACTACTTAATTTATATATCTTTTATAAATATTTTTTAACCATCATTGTATCATATTTATTTGTTATTTATAACGATATTGTGCAAACCGTGCGAACACACAAATAAATGACTACTTAATAATTTTATTTATTTTTCTACTAAAATATAAAGGGCCGAGACTACTTAATATATATATGCAAACACACGTATAGATAATTACTTAATTATGAAATCAATTTCTATATTTTAAATTCAAAAACAATTTGGTTTTTCTTATTTGAAATTCAAACCGTTTTAGCTCTTCTCTCTTGTTTTTTTAATAGAAAATCAACAAGGCTTTTATTTTTTAACTTATATTTTATATTTACAAAGTTCAACAATAAATTTACGTTCAATAATTTGTCATGTTTCACAAATAAATTGTCATTTAAAAAATAGAAACATGTTAACTTATATATTTATTTATAAAATTCAACAATATCTTTACATATGATGGAGACCAAAATTATTTAAATTTAAAATAAAGTGATCGAAATTATTTAAATTTAAAATAAGAGAATAAATTTCTTAAATCAGATAAAAAAGGAAATCAAAATTTAATTAAACCTAAAATATATTATTTACATAAAATGCAGCAATAAAAAATATTCAATGGTCAAGGTAGGCTCTCCATTTGTGTATATAAATAAATGTTTAAATGAACACATGTCATAAAAAAACAAAGAACACCTATTCTATTATGTATTGTTAAAAAAATTTCTTTATTGACCTCTTCGGCAATAATTAAAAATTTTCTAAATTTTATATTAAATCAAACTATAAAATAAAAAATTGGCGGATCGACCCGTCAACTCATTAGTAAATGAGGCGGACTTGACTTTTGAGTTCGATTTACTAAGTTGGTCCACTCTGCCCCACTTTTAGACGAATTTAAATGAGACAAGACTAAATGGGACGGATCATCCGCTTTGCCACTCCTATATGAAACTACTATTATTTGAATGAATATAAAATTAATTTGATTTTAAATACTCGGTTACCAACTAATTAACACTAATGTAAGATAATTGGTTGATATATTTTTTACTAATCAATTAAAAATAATATTATATAGTAATAATAAATATTAATAATGTGATAAATAATTTTTTTTTAAAAAAGTACAAAGATAAATAATTTTCTACTTTGTTTTTTTCAATTTCTATTTTAACTTTTAAATTTAATTAATTGTAATAAATGTATTAATGTATTTTATATTTCTATAATTTTAAATTTGTAATAAATTATAATATTTTTTTATTAATTTTAATAATAAAATGAAATACTTTTAATATTAAAGAATTTTATTTTGATTTTATAATTTAGTATTAAAAAATCATTTTATAATAAATTAAAAATAAATACTTGAAAAATTCAAATACTATATTGTAAAAAAAACACTAAGGTAAAAAAAAAAATTACGAACAATTTATAATGGTATGACTTTGTTTTAATGAAAAATAAAATTTTATTTCTTTCATTATAATATAATAAAGGAATAAAATTGTATTAAATGATAATCACGAAGAAAAAAAAAGGTTGGTAAAGATTTATGTACCTAGAACATGGAAAGTTTTTATATGCATTGCAATAAAATGAAACACATTTTAATTAAAAATATTATCATCTATTTTAAAAAGTTTGACCTAAATTAATGAACAATCTTATAAATTATAGTTGATATCAACATAGAATATTTAATTATAGAATTAAATATATTTTTAATCTGTAAAATATAACTTTTAATAAATTAAAAGTAAGTATTCAAAGTAAGTTGTCGGTGTAAGTATTTATAAAAATATTTTTTAAATTTGAAAAAATATATTGTTGATATAAATATTTTTATTTATGAGAATATATATATATATATATATATATATATATATATATATATATATATATATATATATATATATATATATATATATATATATATATATATATATATATATATATATATATATATATATATATATATATATATATATATATATATATATAAATTTAACTATTGATACAATTATTTTTATAGACGAAAATACTTTACAATTATTTTTATAAACGAGTATAAGTTACAAATATTTTTATAAATGGGAAAATTCAACTATTGTTACAATTATTCTTATAAACGGGAATAAGTTACAATTATTTTTATAAACGAGAATAAATTATATTTTTGACGAGTCAAGACTAATTAATTTATATATCTTTTATATACATCTCTTAATTATCATTGCATTATATTTATTTGTTATTTATAACGATATTGTACGAACTCTGTGAACGCACAAATAAATGACTACTTAATTATTTTATTTATTTTTCTATTAAAATATAAAGGACCGAGACTACTTAATTTGTATATATTTTATATATATTTCTTAATCACCACTATATTGCATTTATTAATTATTTATTACAACATGTACAAACACACGGATAGATAACTACTTAATTTCGACAGCAATTCTTACATTTTAAATTCAAAAATAATTATGTTTTCCTTATTTTAAGTTCAAACAATGAGATTTTTTTTAACTTATATTTTATTTTTATAAAGTTCAACAATAAATTTACATTCAATAATTTGTCATGTTTCACAAATAAATTGTCATTTAAAAAATATAATCATTGTTAACTTATATATTTATTTATAAAATTCAACAATATCTTTATATACGATGGAGACTAAAACTATTTAAATTTAAAATAAAGCGATCAAAATTATTTAAATTTAAAATAAGAGGATAAATTTCTTAAATCAGATAAAAAAGGAAATCAAAACTTAATTAAACCTAAAATATATTATTTACATAAAATGCAGCAATAAAAAATATTCAATGGTCAAGATATGCTCTCCATTTGTGTATATAAATAAATGTTTAAATGAACTCATAAGAAAACAAAGAACACCTATTCTATATAACAAGATGAACACAACAAGGAACTATACTTTTCTCCAGTTCACAATATTCTTAATTGCTTTCTTCATCATTACATCAGGTTTGAAATATATGATTGAATTTCCTCTAAATATCTTGTGATTTATTTAAAATGAACTTGTTTTCATATAATTAAAGAATACTTATTATATTTATAATTTACAAAACTACTAGATAATTGATTTATTTTATAATAATTAATTTACAAAACTGTTATGATATTCTCTTATTGTTTGTGTATGTAGATATGTGCAAGAAAACAGAAGCACAGTCACCTATTGTGACCTGGCCATGTGTATCACCAAAACCTTGCAAAGTTAGCAGCACTTTTAGTTGCCCGTGTATTAAAAATCAATGTCAATGTGGAAAACCACCTTTTGATGATAACAATTCTATTGCACCATCCTCAATTGCAAATTGAATAAACACATATTGTGTGGCAATCATATAGTGTATGAATGAGAATGTAATAAATGTTGATAAGAACAATATTAATTTCATCTTGTTTTATTTTCAAAGTTTATCTTACGAATAATGTTATAAAAGTTTCTTTGACTTTTAATTTCTTTTGTTCTTCTTGACTTGATAGAAAGAATAGAGTGTTTTATATTTAAGATGTGAAAATAGGTTCGACATATTAGATTTTGTAAAGCCTAAGTCTAATCTAATTGTAAATATGTTCTTTTTAAATATGTCCTGCAATTTATTATAGACTTAATTATAGGTTTGATTATGCCCTTTTTAAAAGTTTGATTTTACACGTTTACATACTTGAAATTTTTATTTCATTCAAAATATTTAAATTTATAATATAACCTATTTTTAATTATACGAACGAGTTAATAAATCATTGAAACTAAACTTGATTTAATATTTAACATATAATTTTAGATAATCAAGATAGATTTAATATCATATTTTAGTTTTAATTTATATAATAAATTTTAGTGTAAAAATTGATATAGGTTAATACAATAAATTATTGAAAATGTTAACAAATTAAGAAAATACAAAATCTAATATGATAAAAGGAGTAATACAAAAATATTACTTAAATGGCTTTTTTGAGGGGGTTGATTATACTCTATATATTCTTTTAAACTTTATGAATTTTCAAAACTACCACTTTCTCTTTGTTTTGATAGTACAATTTATACGTATCCTAAATTACTCGATACCTTATTATTTTAATATTTAGCATATAAGTTTAGATAATCAAAATAGATCTAATATCATATTTTAGTTTTAGTTTATATAATAAAATATTAGTGTAAAAATTGATATAGAATTAATACAATAAATTATTGAAAATGTTAACAAACTTATATATTAGTAAGAAAATATAAAATCTAATATAATAAAAAGAATAATACAAAAATATTACTTAAATGGTTTTTTTGACGGGTGATTATACTCTATACGTTCTTCTAAATTTTATGAATTTTCGAAAATACCACTTTTCCTTTGTTTGAATAGTACAATTTATACGTAACTTAAATTACTCAACACCTTATTGTTTTAATATTTAGCATATAAGTTTAGATAATCAAGATAGATCTAATATCATATTTTAGTTTTAGTTTATATAATAAATTTTAGTGTAAAAATTGATATAGGTTAATACAATGAATTATTGAAAATGTTAACAAACTTATACATTAGTAAGAAAATACAAAATCTAATATAATGAAAGGAGTAATAGAAAAATATTACTTAAATGGCTTTTTTGACGGGTTGATTATGCTTTATATGTTCTTTTAAACTTTATGAATTTTCGAAAATACCACTTTCTCTTTGTTTGAATAGTATAATTTATACGTACCCTAAATTATTAAACAACTTATTGCAATGACTTTTGGAGTACGAATTTTATTTAGTTGGATAGTAACATCCAAAAAGCACGATACATAGTTCATATCAATACTATCCAGATCATCATATTTATTGCATAACAGTTCCAGTTCCATAAGCTCTTTTACTAAAAATCATATACATATTTTCTTAAATCAACTTAAAAAGTCTTCTATTTTTATTCAGTAATTATGTTTGGTAACACAATTCAATTGTATTTTGATATCATGAACATCATAACGTACATATGTATCTCTAATCATTGAATAAAAATATGGTTTTTTTCTGTTCATTGTGAAAGTCATATCGATTGTATCATCTAGAGCCTTCTAAATTGTGAATTTTTGATATTTGAAATGATTGATTGAATTCTCTTAATTTTTAATGGTTAACCTATGGTGCAACCAAGTTAATGTATAACACCTTAAAAAATCCGACTCTTTATTTATAAAAGATAATCAAATATTTTCTCAAAAAAAGTGTTACACATACTTAACATGTGTTACTCTTTCAACCAAAACAATTTAACATGCACCGAAACTCAACAATTAAAACATACTTTAAATTATCTCTTCAATATAAAGTACTTGATTAAATTTAAATGATGCAAAACATCAACTCAAACATTAACAAAATGACTTTTTCCTAGTGTTACAAATCGAGCAAGCGAAACTAAAATATCAGAAAAAGATAAATAAACAAAGAAAAGCCTCAATGCTATCTTCCAACTTACAACAGCTAATTATTCTCCTGAGTATTTGTACGACAGCGTATAAAACACCACAAATAAAACAAAACATGGGTGATAATATATTCAAATATATTAACAGTGCAAAACATAGCAAAGGTAGCATATTTAACATAATTATCAACACTTTATTCACAACAATAAAACAATCACAATGCGTTTATGTATGCAATATGAACAACATCTCGACTCAATGCATGTGGTACCATTTTGTGACATCAGAGTTTGTTACTAACATTCATCCACTCAATGAAGTTCATCTTCGAACCCAGTTCCTCTTCGAACCCAAACTCATCATTGATCCACTCTTATGAACCAACGACTCATCACTTCAAAACATCGACACATATAATGAATGATATGCAAAAATAACAACAACAAACAGGTGCAATAAATTCACCATATGCTCCACTTCAAACCGTTCACAACACCAAAAGGCATCTACTGTAGTTCACACCTAAACTACACTTCTCAACAACTCACCCTTTCGTGGTAACTCACCATAAAACTCAACATTAATTATTGAAAACCACGTAAAATAATTAACAACTCATCAAACACGTCTAAACAGTAACCAACGGCCGCTGGAATAGGAAATAACTCTAAAATAGACAGTTGAACCATCAGTTTCTACATGTCATCTCTTTTTTGATAAAAAATAGAAAAGAATGATCAAAACTGTTTAAAAATAAAATAGAGGAACTGGTTTCGTGATTTGACTAAAATAAGGGGACTAAAACTATAATTTAGTCTTCATTTTAATTACTTTACACCAATAACTAGAGATGCAAATGGGAAAAATAAGGGTATGGTACTATAGTACCCATCCCTATACTTGTAGTTGGTAAACAATCCCCGTATTCGAGCCTATACTCACTTTCTTAACATCTTTAGCACTCGTACCCATGTCTATGAGAATGTAAAAATTCATATCCGTACCAGTTACCCGCATTTCTATTTAAAATAAATATGTCAAATATAAAATATCATAGGCATAATTACTCTAGGGCTCCTTTAAGTTATTTTATTATAACAAGTCAGCCCTTTAAGTTTTTTTGTAACAACTTAGTCCCTTAAAATTTTGTTGCACTACTACAAAAAGACTGTGTCATGTCGGACGCGAAATACATTTTACCTCGGCATCTAAAGCGAGGTAAATAAGTTCGTCCTGAAAAGTAAACACTTATCACCTCAGTGTTTAAAACACCAAGGGGTATTTTAATAGCACATGGGTTCGATCCACACCGTCTGTATTTTTATTATTTACAATTGTAGCACCTCAAGTATCTCGAAATATCAATAAAACTGAGGGGTAAACTATTAGTATTTTTTAATTTAAACTGGTTACATTGTTTACACAAAAAATTAATAAAGTAACTTGTTTACAAAATACAATGTTTTTCCAGAATATTAAATCGGTTATATTATTTACACAGGATATCAAAATAAAAATCAAAGTTGTTCATGAAGATCATATGTTGGATATTTAAATCTTTGATATCCATGGGAAGATCATATATTGTATCTTCCATTATAAGAACAATATGTTTTCAATTAATTTTTCTTTCATTTGATTCTGATATAAACAAAAAAAAAAAAGATAAATAAATAACTTTATATTCAAATAAACATTTAAGAACACAAACCTTAAACCCAAATAATTATCAGCTCTTACAATCCATCTTAGAGAACTCTTCATGACAAAGACTATTATAAATCTTAAAGCGGAGGATAGTTTCAAGCGCTTCATGATGTAGTATTATGAATTTTTGATATTCAAATTGCTCTTATAATGGAAGTTATTTAGGTTTCACGCGGATCACTAATGGAAGTGTCTTAAGTGTTAATAGTGATGAAAATGGACAACAAGGATTTGATTAAGGACGATGAAAAATATACTCAAAATTAACGCTAAAATATCCCCTCGATTTTTAGAAAATTTGAGGTGAAAGAATATTATTATTTTTAATTTTTAATTTTTAATTTACATAATTTACAAAGAATTTTAAAACACAATATTACAACAAACTCATATTCTTGGAGATAAACAAATCTTTGCTATAAGGAGTTATTGAGAATAAATTATTTACAACAAATCTTTGGTGGAATCCTCAGAGATCTCATAGTCTTCGGAAACCTCGGAGATTTCATCGTCTTTAGAGATATGTTCTTAAGCGTTTCTAGATCAAAACTTTTCATGGCAATGGATAGTGGTAAATATTTTCTCTATCTATCGCGGCTACATATTAGTTAGAATTAGGGTAAAATCTGTTTTACAAATGCCAAATTTCACCTCAGTTATTTTTTAAAATCGATGTGACATTTGTTTATATATATATATATATATATATATATATATATATATATATATATATATATATATATATATATATATATATATATATATATATATTCTGTGACAATTACATTGTTTACACAAAATATTAAAATAAATAGTTTACAACAAATCTTTTCTCTTTTAAATGAATATCTTCGCTGATATCCATCATCCAAAGGTTGAGCTCCCTTCTTTGTATAAGTTGAAGCAAGAATATTAAAATATATTATTACAACAGATGCAATGTCATTATAGTCATTGTTATTCTTGGAGAACAACAAATCTTTGTTGCAATCCAAATTTAGTTGCATAGTATTGTGTGCATGCTTTTTAAGCTCAATGGTTTGAATGCACAAACATTGGAAAATATTCATCTGTTTGCACCAATTCTCATAGTTGTCTACTTTCAGAATTGGTAGAGTTGCCGGATAATTTGCATTCCCATAATTCGTCATCGTGAATTCTTCAACCGTTCTTGATTGAT